AAAGAAGAAGATATAGAATCCAGAAGATTTCACACCACTTTATTGGCCAAGGTCTTTTAGAGTAATTGGAAGGCATTGTCACCATTTGAGTTACAGAGACTTTAGATTTGTAAAGGTATCCATGGTGTGTTGTTATTAACTTATTTATAATTTTTAAAAGCTAAGATGGAAATATTTTTGATATCTTTAATTATTAAGATTTAACTATTAAGAGTTTAAAGATGCCAAAAGAAACCATTGAAAAGCTGTGTTTCTTGTGAAGCAATGAGTAGTTCTAAGAATAAGGGAAGATATATAAAGCTGGAAAGATGACATCAGCATGGCATTTTGAAAAGGAAAGCAGAGACAGAAACCAGAGAGGTGGAGGAGGGGAATTCCAAAATGCAGCGGCAAAGATCAGAGCCTGGTTGAAGAAGAACATAAGAGGCGGGGCCTGGCATAGGCCGTCAAAATCTGGAGACAGAAGCCAATAGCCCAAGAAGACATGCACTATCTGGAGTGACACTTCGGACAGCAAAGTTGGGAATGAGTATTTTCACCATGAGCCAAATTAAAGAACAGTAAGAGGCATCTGAGCTGCATCTATTGGTGTTTTGAAATTTTATCACACTATAATAAAATGTAATCAGGCAGCTAACCTCGTCTTTTTTGCTCAGATTAAAAAAAAAGGTACTATACAGTGCATTAGAGGAGGAAACATCTTTTATTTTTGTTAATCTATGTTCGGATCTATATGATATATGAAATATTCATAAACAACCAAGTGACTCCATTCGTCAAAGTGTAGGGACCCTAATGAGTAGAGGAGACCACATCCTGTACCCCACAGATAAATGATTTCCCCTAGGGAAAGTATATCTCAGAAACTGCATCTTCTGAACCACTATAGGTAGAAATCTCTTTGAGAGAGAGCACTTAATAACAAACTGAAATTTTTAAATAAGAATTAGTAGCCAGGCCAAAATCAGTAGAAGGAAGGAAATAATAAAAATTAGAGTGGAAATAAATGAAATAGAAACTAAAAAGACAGTAGAAAAGATCAATGAAACTAAAACAGCTAGTTCTTTAAAAAGATAAACAAAATTGAGAAAGCTTTAGCTAGACACACTGAGAAAAAAGAAAGAAGGCTCAAATAAAATCAGAAAGGAAAGAGGAGAAATTACAACGGATACCACAGAAATACAAAGGATTATAAGAGAATACTATGAAAAGCTATACACCAATACATTGAATACCCTAGAAGAAATGGATAAATTCTTAGAATTATACAACTTTCCAAGACTGAATCAAGAAGAAATAGAGGGGCCAGCCCCACGGCCAAGTGGTTAAGTTCGCACGCTCTGCTTCAGCGGCCTGGTGTTTCGCCAGTTTGGATCCTGGGTGTGGACATGGCACTGCTAATCAAGCCATGCTGAGGTGGCATCCCACATGCCACAACTAGAAGGACCCACAACTAAAAGAAAAATATACCACTATGTACTGGGGAGCTTTGGGGAGAAAAAGGAAAAATAAAATCTTTAAAAAAAAAAAAAAAGAAGAAGAAATAGAGAATCTGAATAGACTGATCACTAGTAAGGAGGTGAAAATCAAAAACCTCCCCAAAAACAAAAGTCCAAGACCAGACGACTTCCCCAGTGAATTCTACCAAACATTCAAAGAAGATTTAATACCTATCCTTCTCAAACTATTCCAAAAAAACTGAAGAGGAAAGGATGTTTCCTAACTCATCCTACGAAGTCAACATTACCCTGATACCAAAACCAGACAAGGACAACAAAAAAATGGAAAATTATAGGCCAATATCACTGACTAACATAGATGCAAAAATTCTCAACAAAATATTAGCAAATCAAATACAACAATACATTAAAAGAATCATATACCATAATCAAGTGGGATTTATTCCAGGGATGCAAGGATCATTTAACATCCACAAATCAATCAGCATAATATACCATATTAACAAAACAAAGAATGAAAATCACATGATCATCTCCATAGATGCAGAGAAAGCACTCAACAAGATTCAGTATCCATTTATGATAAAAACTCTGAATAAAATGGGTATAGAAGGGAAGTACCTCAACATAGTAAAGGCTATATATGACAAAACCACAGCTACCATCATACTCAATGGTGAAAAACTAAAAGCTATCCCTTTAAGAACAGGAACAAGACAAGGATGACCATTTTCACCACTATTATTTAACATAATTTTGGAAGTCCTAGCCAGAGCAAATAGGCAAGGAAAGAAATAAAAGTGATCCAAATTAGAAAGGAAAAAGTAAAACTGTCACTATTTGCAGATGACATGATAATATATATATAGAAAACCCTAAAAGATCCACCAAAAAACTATTAGAAATAATAAATAAAGTAAAATTGCAGGATACAAAATCAACATATAAAAATCAGTTGTGTTTCTATACACTAACAACAAAATACCAGAAAGAGAAATCAAGAATACAATCCCATTTACAATCTCAACAAAAAGATCAAAATACCTACAAATAAATTTAACCAAAGAGGTGAAAGACTTGTACACTGAAAACTACAAAACATTGTTGAAAGAAATCAAAGAAGACACAAATAAATGGAAAGATATTTCATGCTCACGGATTGGAAGAATTAATATAGTTAAAATATCCATACTTCCTAAAGCAATCTACAGATTCCATGCAATCCCTATCAAAGTCCCATTAACATTTTGTTCATAGAAATAGAACAAAGAATCCTAATATTTATATGGAACAACAAAAGATGCCAAATAGCCAAAGGAATCCTGAGAAAAAAGAAGAAAGCTGGAGGCATCACACTCCCTGACTTCAAAATATACTACAAAACTATAGTAACCAAAACAGCATGGTACTGGCACAAAAATAGATACAGAAGTCAATGCAACAGAATTGAGAACCCAGAAATAAACCCACACATTTATGGACAGCTAATTTTGAACAAAGGAGCCAAGAACATACAATGGAGAAAAGTAAGTCTCTTCAATAAATGGCGTTGGGAAAACTGGACAGCCACAGGTAAAAAATGAAAGTAGAGGGTCCAGCCCTGTGGCCTAGTGGCTAAGTTTGGTGCACTCCACTTGGGCAGTCTGGGTTCATGAGTTTGGATCTCAGGTACAGACCTACACTACTGGTCAGCCATAGTGAGGTGGCAACCCACATATAAACTGGAGAAAGATTGGCATAGATGTTAGATGTTAGCTCAGGGCTAATCTTCCTCAGCAAAGAAAGAAAGAAAGAAAAAAAAAGTAGACTGTTATCTTACACCATACACAAAAATTAACTCAAAATGAACTGAAGACTTGAAGGTAAGACCTGAAACCAGAAAACTCCTGGAAGAAAACATAGGCAGTATCCTCTTTGACATCATAGGTCTTAGCAGTATCTTTTTGAATATCATACCTCTTCAGGCAAAGGAAACAAACTAAAAAATAAATGGGACTACATCAGACCAAAAAGCTTCTGCACAGCAAAGGAAACCATTGACAAAACAAAAAGACAATCTAACAATTGGAAGAAGATATTTGAAAATCCTATATCTGATAAGCAGTTAATATCCAAAATATATAAAGAACTCATACAACTCAACAAAAAAACAGATCAAAAAATGGGCAGAGGATACGAACAGACATTTTTCCAAAGAAGATATACAGATGGGAAACAGGCGCATGAAAAGATGTTCAACATCACTAATTATTAGGGAATTGCAAGTCAAAACTACAATGAGATATCACCCCACACCTGTCACAATGGCTGTTATTAAAAAGACAGGAAATAAGTGTTGGAGAGGATGGGGAGGAAAGGGAATCCTCATACATTGCGGGTGGGAATGTAAACTGGTGCAGCCACTATGGAAAATGGTATGGAGATTCCTCAAAAAATTAAAAATGGAACTACCATATGATTCAGCTATACCACTTCTGGGTATTTATCCAAAGAACATGAAAACAGGAATTTGGAAAGACATATGCACCCCTACGTTCAGTGCAGCATTATTTACAATAGCCAAGACTTGGAAGCAACCTAAATGCCCACTAATGGATGAATGGATAAAGAAGATGTGGTGAACACACACACACACACACACACACACACGCATGCAATGGAATACTTAGCCATAAGAAAGATGAAACCTTGCCATTTGTGACAATGTGGATGGACCTTCAGGATATTATGCTAGGCGAAATAATTCAAATGGAGAAAGCCAAATACCGTGTGATTTCACTGGATATGTGGAAGATAAAACAACAACAAACAAACAGAGAGACAGAGAATAGAATGGTGGAAGGGGAAAGGGGGAGAGCGAAAGGGGTAAAAGGGCACATGATACCGTGATAGATGGCAATTAGACTTTTGGTGGTGAACATGATAGAGTCTATGCAGAAACTGAAACATGATTTGGAATTTTTTTTTTAAAGATTTTTTTTTTTCTTTTTCTCCCCAAAGCCCCCCGGTACATAGTTGTGTATTCTTCGTTGTGGATCCTTCTAGTTGTGGCATGTGGGATGCTGCCTCAGCGTGGTTTGATGAGCAGTGCCATGTCCGCGCCGAGGATTCCAACCAACGAAACACTGGGCCGCCTGCAGCAGAGTGCAAGAACTCAACCACTGGGCCACGGGGCCAGCCCCCATGATTGGGAATTTATATAACGTCATAAACCAATGTTACCTCAATAAAAAAATTTTTTTTAAGAAATCAAGAAAAAAAGAATTAGTAGCCAAAAAAAAAGATTAAGAAAATTATTACCTATAAGCTTAATATAGGTGGGGGAGAAAACGTGCTATAATTGATAACGGTTGAGGAGAAGCGCAACTATTAGGTGCCAGCATCCTAAGAGTTCCTTTCTGCCCACAGGAGTTGTCCCTGTCAGTGGAAACTGATACTGCGAGTGTCTCGCAGGAAACTATGGAGACGTGTAAATGCCCTTAAGTCGACTGCGCTTTAGAATCACTTGGGGATCATCTAAAAAATACCAATTCCTGGGGCCAACCCCTAGGGAGTCTGATTTCACTGGTCTGAGGCCACGCCTCCTCATCCACACCGTTTAAAAAGCTTCCCAAGCCAGGCAACAACTGAGCTGAGCGTCTGGACCTGAACCGCCCTGCAGGGAAAGGCAACGGAAGCTCTTGCTAGGGTAGCAACTATGAGCTCAAATCCACCGTCCCCCTCCCCGACTTCAGGACTCCAGGTTGTGGTTCGAACCCGCCTTTGGCAGCTCCTTCAAACGGGAACCAGCCCCATCACTTTGTAACGTTCGGCGTTGGCGCAGGGGTCTGCAGCTTCCGCCTGCCCGAAACTTGGTGCTGGCTGACCCTGAAGGCGGCCCTGTGAGAGGGAGGCAAGAGAGCGAGCTGATCCGGGCACCGCACAGGCGGAGGCCGAGACTCTGTCAGGAGTGGAGGTATGCTCAGGCGACCCCAGGGCGTGTGGTCCTTGAGTGAGGATGCCCACAGCAAAGGGAGGAAACCTCGGGAACTGCCTGCATCATGAGACTTGGCCAGGCCTCCTGGAACTGGAGGGATCAACAGATGCTCTAGCGCCCTAAGCAGCTCTAGTAGCTGCCATTTCAGAAAAAGTGTCCCTTGGTCTCTCTCCTGGTGATTCCTCCAGCCCCATTTTTGTGTCTCTGACTCCCTCTGCTTCCAGTTTTCACTCTTTCTAATCTCTCCTCTATCATATGACATCTGCCATCCTGTGGCTTAACGTCTTCTGTCTCCAAGTCTCTTGGTTTCTGCCCTTGCTACCAACTGTGCCCCTCCCTGGGTGACCAGAAGAAGGCTCTCCGTGTTCTCGCCAGTCCCTCTTTTAACCGAGAATGCGTCAGATAAGCAAAGCTCTTGTAGCAGACCATCTCACACTATACGGGTCTGCCTGTGGGCCAAGACCCGGTCCTCAGCCCAATCTATGGTGACCAGGTTGCAGGGTCAACCGATACCAAACATGGGCAAGAATTGCTTGTGGCCTTTCTTTTCCCCCTAGAAGGGGACTATGAGGGGCTGTTTCTTAGACCCTTGAAAAGGGAAATAAGCCTATAATGGCTAAAGTAGAGACAGTGTACCTGGTGTGTATCTGGTAACGTTTTTGCTTGTGTTGCTTCAACCCAGAGGTTTATATACAGTAAATGGTAAGTTTTCCAACACTGCCTTTATGATATGCTGAGAATCTCAACAAGGGGAGGGGGAGAAAGTAGTTCCTCTGTAAAAAAATGCTGGGTTCCTCTGCTTTAGTGCATTGCCTCTGTTTATACACAGAAGTGGAAGAAAACAGATGTATTTGTTGTCTTAATTAACCGTTTTATATGCCAATGAAAAGCTTGTGGCATATACTGAGGGGTCTGTTCCTCCATTATCAGTTCTGCTCCTGAAGTGAGTCTAATTATTGTGCCTTTGCGATCCTAATTAGCCACCACTAGCTAGGGAACGCGGCTTTGAGGGAGAATTAAGCTAGTCAACAAAGGACTTTTCATGAAACTTCACCTTTTCTAAATAGTGGAAATATCACAGAAGGAAAAGTACCCAAGAGCAGAAACCCCATTCTTCCCCTCCTGGAGGCCGCAGTGAAGAGGAAACACTGGGCTGTAAAGCAGAAAGTAAGATGGGAAGGGGGTACGGGAGCCCATTCCATCTACTGACTTCCCGCTGCTTCCTAAAATGCATCCCTCGGGCCAGGAAGGCTTGTGTCCTCATGGTTTTCTGCACCATCACCTGCTCAACAAACAAGTATTGAGGCCCTATCTATGCTGGGTACTCTGCTAGATACCAGGGACATAGCAATGGTATTAATATTATCCTAAATTATTATTATAACGATGATGATGGCTGTTATTTACTGGGAGCTCACTTGTGCCAGGCAGGATTCTAAGCACTTTGCGCCTATTATTTTCCCCATTTTACAGATGAGAAAATAAGGCACCTACCAACCTGTGAAGAACTTCTGGTCTAGAAGTGAGGTGATTAGTGTTTTAAACGTGGCTGTGACAACCCACACCAAGGATGACTAACCTTGACTTTGCTTTGGGAGACAGAGTCACAAAAGGGGGCCTGTTGTTGGGACCCACCTGGGAAATTTAAATCAAGGTCCATCAGCAGAAACTCCCAGAAGGTGCCTGTGATTGGTTGGTAAGGTTGGGGATCTGGCCCAGCATTCCAGGGCCAGCTCCTGGCAAATGGCGCCTGGTTATGTGGAAGCTAGAGCTCCCCTGGGAGGGAGCTGAGCCAGGCTAGCCCTGTTAGGTTGGTCATCCGCGGCACCTCATCTTTCTAAAATTGGCGAGACCCTAGAGGGAGAGAATAGAGAAGACAGAGAGCCTATCAGTACTGGGAGCAGAGTTGAGCAGGGGAGGGGTGGGCCCATGCCAGGCACCCTTGCACTCTGCCATCTGGAAGGGCATAGAGAGGATAACATGGCCCCTGCCTGGGATCCCACTGTGGAGACTCAGGGTCAGGTAGGAAAAAAACTCCCCTGAGTGGGAACAAGATGCTTCCCAGTGTGAATGTGAATCAGAGACCTGGGTGGGTGGGGTGTTGAGCCTGATTCTGGGGGTGAAGAAGGAGCGGGGGTAGGCTCAGGCTGGGGAATCTGTCCACCCTGTTGGCCAAGCTGACCCGTGCTGCTTCTGCCTTTAGTCACACACAGTGGGTCACCCCCAGGTCATCACCAGCCTCGCTTCCTCACACTCAGAGGACCAAGGCACTGGCTGTACGACTACAAGAGGACAACCAGCATTTTGAGCCACCTACATGGCATCGGGTTCTGAGCAGGGCAGCATACAGAGCCCACCAGTGTTCACTTATAGAAATAACCTTCTAGAGTGCCCAGCCCCAGAAAACAGTGCCAAAGCCCCATCTGACTTTTATCTGGTTTGCACCCTGGGCAAGGATTTTCAGAACGAATTGGTCACACTTCTCAAGAGTCTGTAATCATTTTACTAGCAGAAATGGACATAGCAGGGTCCAAATGATGGAGACAGCAAGTCCTCTTGGATCGGGTGTTCTAGGAAGAACCGTTTATGTGGCCTCATACAGGTATGCAGATAAATGCACACAAGCACCCACTGTTCCAGAGGAAGGGTATAATAGAACATTTTGGTAGATGAATCTTAAAGATTGTGGTGAAGAGGTGCACAAATTTTTGAAAAGTCCATGGAGCCTTCTGAAAGGGCAGACATAGACCCTAACCCCTTCCCTTTCTAAGTCATCCAACATCATAAAACATCTCAGATAGGTCAGGGTGGTCTCACTGAGGTCAGGTGACATAAAGACTTCAGACTAGAGGGACCCAAGGGGAAATCATCTTGGTGGAAAAGGAGAGGGCGAAGGAGGGAGATGAGAGGTTTGTAGGGGTCGCCTGGGTCCACAGCATGGCCTTGAGTCCATTCGGGAAGGGCTATTTTGGGCACAGTGAAGGTTGTGGGGGAGGTGTGGGTGGGGAATGGTCGTGTGTGTCTGTGTGTATATCTGTGTATGTGTGTAAACAGAGACCTGAGTTACCAAAGACTTTCTCATTGAGAGCCCAGAGGATTTTAACATGGAACAACCAATACCTAGTAGTAGTTATCCTTTAGCCTCACGGGGGTGAAACTGAATTTTGGCTTTAGCCAAGAGAAATCAAGTCTGGCTCCTTGAACTAAGATAATCTCTGAATTCTTGGACTTATTATGGAAAGAGGACCCCTGCAGAGGGAAGAAAGTCATTCAAGTGATAGATGAGTTGGAGACTGATTTGAATAATAATTTTACCCTAAGCTGGTGAAGCAAGATACCCTGGCATCTTGGAGTCTAGCCTTGAGGGAGCAGTAAGTCAGAAACATGTTATTGTCCCCATACCCCCTTGTCTGTACTCCTACAGGTAGAGTCTGAGAAACATGGGTCACACTGGCTATTTCATCTTTTTAAAGTGCCTTGTCTACTCTTAGGGAATCATAAGCCATCCTGTCTTCATCTTTTAATATAGAACATAGCCACTAAATGTTTCTAATATCTCATTGCATTTTCGCTATTGCAGCCCTAAATCAAATCAGATCTGGGAGCTTGTCCCACAGGCCAAATGGAATTCAGCCAAGGATCAGATCCAGCCTTCAAACTGGTCCTCTTTTCTCTCTTCACTGTCATTTCTTTCTGTTCTTTTTGCATTTGAGACGAATGCATTTCCCCTCAACCCGATGATGTATTATAAGTGGGAAGAGAGTCTCCATTAACTCTCTATTTCACGTCCATTGCTAAATTTAACCTCTGATGTAAAGTCTCAGGTTCTTTGCCCTAAAAATAGCTAAAGGCTGAAATGGGAGTGGAAGTGAGGGTCAGTGTCAGCTGTGGTTTCAATCATCAGAAATCCACTGATGTTCAACGTCAACAAATTCCCCTTGTCCCACCTGTGCTTTGCCTTCACATTCGCTCTATAGGAGGCTGTGTCCAAAGACACCACTGCTCTTCCCAATCAGAATTAACCCACATTAATGAACACTAGCTAGCAAAACTCAGTGGGTCACTACTCACCCTTTCAAATATTTTGGAAAATTGGTCAATTTTCTCTTGGAAATTTGACCTTATGCAAATTTTTTGGAAAAGAAAACAAATATTAATTATAGGCTTCCTGCCAACAAACCCAATACAACGTGCCTTATCAACTTTTAGTAGAAATGCAAAACTACAATGGTTTATGCTGAATGTATTCTGTTGAAATGAAACCTTAAGTTCCAGCGATTAAAATAGCACGTCAAAGTCTTTTGTTTATTTTTCACAAAACTGAAATTTCCAGCATTCTTAAACCACACACACACACACACACACACACACAAATTATTGAAAGAAACTGAGAAAGAAGTGGATTGCAGAAGAATTCCCTGCAATGGCATCCAGCAGGTCTTATACTTTAGACCTAATGGGCTCAAGGAGGTCTGGATTTTTTTAAACTAAGTTTGTTGCTATTTATTGATATTTTAGTTCTGTGTTTTCTATTTTGTGCAGCAATAAAATTAACTTATTCGTTCCCAGATGGTACTTTAAGGGCATAGTTCTCGATTGAGACTTTACCTTATGTGTTCATTTGACACATAAATGACTGGAGAACTCCACTATTAGTAGCCAATTAGTCATTTTTGGCTTAGTTTCCAAGAGCCATCTCAATTTTCTGACTGTTCTTAATGAAACTCATGATTAGGGAGTGGGAGGGCAGACTAAGGGAAAGAGGAAAGATGTTTTTCTTAGCTGAGGCATGGATATAATCCTCTGCAGAAGGCCCTGAAGTCCCCATTCATCCTCCCTGCCCCCTGCAGTGTCCTGACCTGGGCAATCGGATGCCTCTCTTCCCCCTCAGCCTCTGGCTACTGAGGCGCCCTTGCCGGGCAGATGGCGCTGTGATAGAAACACCTCAGAGAAGCTCCCCAAGTCTCTCATTGCCTCCC